GTGCTATAGCCTCAGTGCCAAGCGGAAAGCAGAACTCTGTCCTTCCATGTTAACAGAATTCTCAGAAAAAAATTATCAATTGTTTCAGTTTATGGGATTACTCAGGACCGTGGGTACTTCAGGAGAAATTGCTGGGACAATGTGGAAGATTTGAAGTTAGTATTTAGTAATACCTCAGTTTGCATAGCATTTATGTTCTCTTTGCCATGTAGCTCCTCCTCCTATACCAGTCAGCCAGTCCCACAGCTCAGCAAGTGAGGTGCACACTAGGCCATCAGACTTCCTGGGTGTTGTGTGCCAGCACTGGCTCTCTCTGGCTGCATTTCCTTGGGTGAGTGACTGACTTTGATGTCCTCTTCTGCACAATAAAGTTAATATTAGTACTCACCTCTTATTATGGTAAATGAGAAGACATGTAAAGCCCAGTGGCTGCCCATAGTGACGACTCAATAAATGCTATTGTGTATCATCGTGTGCAAGAGTAGGTGCTGTAGAGGTTAAACAAGAACCATTGTTCCACGTTGGCAGTACGGAAAGTACCATATACGGTGCTCTAGAAGTTCACAGGAAACAGATGGGACCAGCAGGTCCCATCTAGCACACTTGGCATGGCCTGTAGCCTGTGTGCCCTGTTGGTCCATCACCCCCCACATCCTTCCTCCAGCCCTCCTGTTCCTTCCTCCTTATTAAGTGCTGCCTGGTGTGATGATGTTGATACCACCATATATTTGATTAGCTTCTTTTTACCCTGCTTTCAGGTTTCTTCTTTGATCCTTGCAAAAGTGAGGTAAATTACTGCTTTTATTTTTTTATTTTATTTATTTTATTTTTTTAACAGTTTTATTTATTTATTTATTTTTGTGTGTGAGGAAGATCAGCCCTGAGCTAACATCCATGCTAATCCTCCTCTTTTTGCTGAGGAAGACGGGCTCTGAGCTAACATCTACTGCCAATCCTCCTCCTTTTTTTTTTCCCCAAAGCCCCAGTAGATAGTTGTATGTCACAGTTGCACATCCTTCTAGTTGCTATATGTGGGACGCGGCCTCAGCATGGCCAGAGAAGTGGTGTGTCGGTGAGCGCCCGGGATCCGAACCCCGGGCCGCCAGTAGCAGAGCGCGCGCACTTAACTGCTCAGCCACGGGCCCGGCCCAAAATTACTGTTTTTAGATGAGGAAACTGAGGTCCAGGGAAGGTAGGTTACTTGCCAAGGTCTTGAGGCTGGAAAACCCAGGTCATCTTGGCATTTCCCACTCACGTAATAGACTGAGTTATTTCTTCAGCCTTACCCTCCCCGCCAAATCCAGGGGTAGGTGATTCAAGTGGTACTAACCCTGCTTTTGCTAAAATGTAGGTCTCTTCCTACTACAGTGGCACTTCCTCTCCAGATGTAATATTTCCCAACCTCCCTCTATCTTCAAACCCTGTTCCGAGGTATGTTTTCTCAGCATCACCAAGCAACTAACTCAATTCTGACAGTATCTGGAGACAGCATCAGATACCACAGGTTAAGGGCTCAGTCCCACAAGACTGACCCCACTTCAGACACCAGTCGCAAGTCCAGGTTGACCTGTGCCTCTGCCTGACTGGCTATTAATTGGAGGTTCCCACAGCCCCCACTCACATTCATTTAATTTGCTAGAGAAGCTCACCAAACTCAGAGAAACCTTTTATTTACTAGATTACCATTTTATTATAAAAAGATATAATGCAGGAACTGCCGGATGGAAGCAACACATAGGGTAAGGTATGTGGGAAGGGGCGCAGAGCTTCCGTGTCCTCTCCAGAGGCACCGCTCTCCCCGAATCTCCATGTGTTCACTGACCCAGCAGCTCTCTGAACCCTGTCCTTTGGGTTTTTACAGAGGCTTCATTACATAGGCATGGTTGATTAAATCATTGACCATTGGTGATTGAACTGTATCTCAAACCTCTTCCCCTCCCTGGAGGTTGAGAGGTGGGACTGAAAAGTCCAACCTTCTAATCAGCTGGTTGGTTCCCCTAGCAACCAGCCCCCATCCTTAGTTTACCAAGGGACTTGCCAAAAGTCACCTCGTTAACATAAACTCCTGTGTGGTTGAAAGGGGCTTGTTATGAATAGCAAGATACTCCTTTCACCTTTATGGCTGTTCCAGGAACCCATAACAAAAGACCAAATATTATTGGTCTTATTATGTGAGGAAATTCCAAGGGTGTTAGGAACTCTGTACCAGAAATGGGACAAAGACCAAATATATATTTCTTATTATAAATCACTATATCACACCTGTGGTCAACTCTGTCTTCCCTGATGGAAAGGACTTTAGATTGGCAGCTAAGAAATATGATTCTAGGCTCAGCCCCAACCCCTCAGTTGTTGGATGTGATGGCCTCACTGGGGCTTCCTTCTTTATCTGTACAATGAGGGGACTGGTCTAAACTTATGAGTCTCAACTTGTTTTTTTCTAGGACATAAATGTCTGGTCACATTCCCTTGTAGACCTTCTTGTTGGGTGGCCTACTTCCCAGTACCTTAGCTGTAATTCAACCCCTTCTCCTGTACTCAAGGAATCACCTTGTGATGAAAGGGTTTGAATGATGCTGTTGTAGGGATAACCATGAATCTGTTCTAAGTTATCAGAAAAGTGAGTAATGTGCGAGGTGTAAGACTTTTTGTCAGTAACAGATCAGTTTGACACCTCCCAGTGACCATGTCAGGGCCTGGACCTGGTCCAGAGCATATCCACCCCGGCCTGCTCATAGCCCTGAGCCCTCAGCCTGCAGACAGGGTGCTAACTTAGCAAGTTTAAAGTAGAAGTATCTTGTAATCCCTTAAAGTGTGGCAAAGCCTTGGTCTTTTGAGTCAGAAAAAAAGGTGAATGAATCTCTTAAGAAAATGAGACAATCTTCCAATGGCTGGTCACTGTGTGGAAAGTTATTTAGTATAAGTATTGGTTTATTTGCAGGGTGCAGGCATGAGGGCAGAACCAAGGGAACAGGGGGACCTAGGACATCATCATTCTACAAGACTCATGTTCATTACTCACCTGTCCATTGCGTGTGTAACACTGGGTCTTAGATTTCTAATCTGGGTTAGAAGAGAATCAGCCTAGCACATTTGAGATCCAATTTTGCCAGAAAACTGGAGATGGACCCTCCCCAACCATGTTTCTTTTCTGTATTCGGGTTTTATTAATGGATTCCTAACCACCCAGAGATCAGGAAATACAGCCCCTTTTCAAAGCTTGGGTTGACAGCACTTCCAAGACGTTTTAGGTGAGGTGCTGAGATGCTTAGATGCTAAAGATCTTTGAGGAAAGGGGTCGGGGGAATGGGGACTGTGCTGTGGAGTCCCAGGTCCACTTTGTCCGTAGTTAACCAGACCCTGGATTTTCTGTCTGTTCCTATGGTTCAGAGCATTGTCACTGAAAGGAGGAGGTTTGGAGAAGACTTGAAGCAAAGTGCCTGTGCCCTACACAGGAACGTGGGAGCCGGCTTGCTTCCTGTCTCAGCACCACCAGTTGTCAGAGGCCAGGGCTTTCCATACAGCATGGGCGAGTCCCCGCAGGAAGGACACTGGTGAAGGTGTGAATTCCTCCTCTGTCCTGGAACAGCTAACAGTCAACATGAACCCTCAGCCTTTTATCTGTTTCATAAGAAATGTTGCTGACATATTACCAGCATCCAGTGAAATGTGCATGGGACATTCTGACTAAAAATTAATAGAAGAGTCAAATCTTCACAATATTTAGATGTGCTGTATTTGACCTAGGAAATCCAGGCTGGGTAGGTAGGAATTATGGTCACAAAAGGGAGAAGGTGTGATGTAGCCAACTAAATAACTGTTCAATGGTATTGGATCTTATTGGTAGAATGGAAAAGAATTAATTCATTTGAAAATAACTTTAATGAAAGTAAAATGGGGGGAATTAGAAATAGTTTGCATTTATCTATAAAAGTAGTTTATGAAAAAATAAATCAAGGGACTATGTTTGCTTAATGGAGTTCAACTCAGAAGGTTCTCAGCTGAAATCCCCAACACTGATACAATTCTGATGAAACTCCTTGGGTGTATAAGCAGTCCACACTTCCATGGGAATAGAACAGCAGGGTCACAACGCCCTGTGTTCGCCTGGTGTTGTGAAACAGCTGTTACTCTTAGTGGCATATGGCCGAGGCACGTGTGGCATTTGGGAGTGCTCCGGAGGGTCACCCCACTGCTCACACACTCTCAGGACAGCTACCTTAGCCACGGGGAGGCAAAGGTGCCCTGGGTGAGGGATGGAGGCACCGATGACTGTAGGAATTCCTCTCACAGGTGTGAGATGGAAGAGTATAAACTCTTCCTTATTCAAAGACTGATTATTTAGGGGCCGGCCCCGTGGCTTAGCAGTTAAGTGCGCATGCTCTGCTACACGAATCGGGTTCGGATCCTGGGCGTGCACCGACGCACCACTTGTCCAGCCATGCTGAGGTGGCGTCCCACATACAGCAACTAGAAGGATGTGCAACTATGACATGCAACTATCTACTGGGGCTTTGGGGAGAAAAAGGGGAAAAGAGGAGGATTAGCAATAGATGTTAGCTTAGGGCCAGTCTTCCTCAGCAAAAAGAGGAGGATTGGCATGGATGTCAGCTCAGGGCTGATCTTTCTCACCAAAAAAAAAAAAAAAAGACTGATTATTTAGTTGCCTTGACTTGATGCCTCCCTATCCCTGCTGCCCACAGACCCCCTTGGGAAAGGATCTAAAAGAAAATACAACTCAAATCAGCTGTCAGTGACTTCTGATAAACTTCAGCAAGGGGCATGGGACAGGGAGAGTACAAATGGAAAAATGGGAGTTGGAGGCTGTAATAAAATTACAAAATTTTGCATGACTTAATGAGGGAGAAATCAGATCTACAATCTAGATTGTAACTCTCCATGTTGGCACTGGCCCCACATGGTCATTTAAGAGTATCTAAATTTATTATGGGTATACTTGGTTTGGAGAAAACATTTCATCCTGTTTTCCTCTCTTTCAGGTTTCAAGTGCCCCATTTGCTCCAAGTCTGTGGCTTCTGATGAGATGGAAATGCACTTTATAATGTGTCTGAGCAAACCTCGCCTCTCCTACAATGGTAAGGGCTTGGCCTGGGAAGCCTCTGAGTGAGGGTCTTCCCCACCTCGCATGGCTCTGGGCGGCATTTCCACCCTGCCTTCCGGCGATGAGGAACCCAACTGTTCATTCGGAGAGGAAGAGGAGTGGGACAAGGAAGGAAGGCCCAGGGGTCAGGTCCGTGGTGCCAGGAAGTCTTTCGAGCCACTCAGTCCTTCTGCCCTTCCTTCTGCCTCCTTAGTTCCTTGGATCTCTGGTACCTTAGCCCATTCACACAGCTGACAGCAGGGGGCCTAGAGGGAGTGCCACCTCCCTTTGGGGGAGGGGGAGTCTGTCCAGGTGGTTTGCATGAGTGCCTAAGCCTTGACTCTCCACGGCAGGATCAGTGCATTACGTGGACACCCTTTAGGAATTAAAAATGCTGACCTGTCACCTAGTTGCTCCACCATGGCCATGCTGCTTCCTACCTTGGAGGCTGTCCAGAGCTGAGCAGTGAATACAACAAGGGGTAGGATCACCGGGCCAGGGGACTCTGTGAAGCCTAAGTCGCCCTCATATGGCACCTCTGTGGACAAAATGAGTGTCAACATCTGCCTGGTATGCTGTGGGCGAGGATTTGGAGCCCAAGCGATCTGAGTTCAAAGCCTGCCCTATCACTTACTCACTGCATGATCTTAGGCAAGTTGCTCAGTTTAGCAGAGCCTTGGTTTCCTGGTCCATAAAATGGGGATATCTGGTTCATAGGATTATTGTCAGAATACAGTAAGATATTATACCTAAAACCCTTCAACACAGAGCCTAGCACATGGCCAGTGCTCAGGAAGTTACAGCTGCCATTGATAGGGACAGCCGCCCTGAAAGGTGCAAGTTCTTTTTGTCATTTTCCAGAGTGGGCTGGCTTCTCTTTAGTGCCACGTGCCCTGTGCTGCTGGTGGCTCTCTGGTTTTCTATTCTTATGTGCTTAGTCTGGTCTTCAAACCATGTTCATCAGAGAATTGCATCTTCTACGAGAACAGGCACTGGATCTGAGTGGAATGTGCCCCGACCCCATCACTGGACCCACCTTCTAGGATTAAAGTCACAGCAGTGCTTAGGAAAAGAGTTCTGTGGTTTCTCAGAGAGTCTGAGGACTGGACAGGAGGTGAGCCTGGATCGCTTGATCCCCATTCTGACAGTGAAAGTTTCCTGGGTGGACTCTCCTGACAGACCTGTCCTTGGTATGCTGTCCTTGGGCTCCTGTCTCCTCAGGCCCAGATGTGCTCCTTCCCCTACACAGCATTAGCCTGGGGAGGCTTGATTCCGGGTTGTTCCTGAGGAATCTGATTCACTGAGTTCTCCTGAAAACACATCCTGCTATTCTCTTTATCTCTTATTTACTTGCTCAGCCAAAAGATTCTGGATGCGTGCAAGTGGGCCAGTTACCTCCTTGTCTCAGCTACATGCAGTCTGGTAACCTTTGCTTGGGCAGGTTGTGGCCCTGCCTCTGCCCCCAGCATTTTCTTCCCGTTCATATCCTCCCTGGTGTCCAGGAAGCCCGTCTTCTCCCCAGCGGACAGCCTCTCCCTGTCCCTGGGGACTGACTGCCGCCACGTCTCTGAATCTGTTGTCAGGCAAGCTCTGGGCTTCGTGTGAGACTTGTCAGTGTGCTCTCCGTTCCTTCGAGGCTGCTCCAGCTCCACTTTGTTCTGTTCCTCGTCTCTGCCTGCAATCACAAAGGGAGAGGAGTCTTCTCCCGGGGCTCACAGCCCTCCCCAAGCATGGCCTTAGAAGCTGTGCTCACTTATTTTCCACATGTGCAGAGCCCTCATGAAGACTGCTTTTTGTCCCATGGGTTGCTGGGGAGAGTTCTCTGTAGACACTGCCTTGCTGTCATAAGAACACAAAGCAGCCTCAGAGTGGGCTCGGCCCGAGAGGACTGGACTCTTGGTGTCATCAGGGAGAACTTTGCAAGGGCAGCTTTGGAGGACAGAGAGCTCTTGGGGCCGCCTGAGTAAGGAGTACCCACATGCCCCATTTGGAGAAGGGAAGGTGAGAGTCTTGGGCTCCTCTCCCGGAGAACTGCCCAGGACGGAGAACTGCCCAGGACGCCTCCGTTGCCTCTTCTATATTAACACTTTAGTCCCTGGTGCTGCCCGTAGGTCTCCTCCCTGCCGGCAGCCATGGGGAAGGGTCCTCCTGTTCTTTCACCTTCATCTCCATAGCAGAGCAGGCTTCGCAGCCCTGCCTGAGCACAGGTCACCTGCAGAAACCCCACTCAGAGCCAGAGTTCCCTTAGAGGAAGAAGAGATTGACCAACCAGGCTAAGGCATAACTGTGGCTGTTCTTGGTCTGTTACCATTTTTTCCCTTCTCCTTTAATTGAAAAGCCACCTCTTCAGGGGTGTGTGTCTGTGTCTGTGTGTGTGTAAACTAGAGGCTTGAAACTCGAGGATCTCTTTTGCAAAAGCCAGTCCTTTACCACCAGAGGCAAAGAGAGGCATGTTGCCTCGGTCCTGTCAGTGGGGTTTGTCTTAAGGCAGTGAAGGTGCCTCAGAAACATGGTCTGACCCCTCCGTGTACACTATTAATGCAGAAAGGAGACATTCATGGCTGGACTCCTCATTTCAGTCTGTGTTTTCTGAAGACACCTAAACCTTCCAGATAAGAAGGCGTTAGCCACCTGGGGTTTGTATGTGGAATGGAAGTCTCCAGGGCTGTCTAGGGTCTATTCTAGTTCAGATAAAGCACAGCCCTTACAGGAGCTGTGGACCAAAGTCCCAAGTTGGGACCTCCAGGTATTTGTTTTGGTTTTGCCAGTAACGTATTTTACCCATGATTTCTCATCATCTCAATGTCCCTGGCTTCACTTTATCTTTTCTATTAAAAAATATGAGGAGACTTAAAGAGTAGGTGAAGTGTAGAGCTCTCAAAATCTTTCTGGAAAGGGGTTAGGATGAGGCTTTCTTTGTGGATAGAAAAGTGCTCTTTTCTTATGAAGATTCACTAGAACTCCTGGTCACTCCCCCGGAGAGTCCCATACACACACACAAACACATGCACACACACACGCACTTTCTGTAATCGCTGGCACCATTTGGAGAAATTTTTTAGAAAATTTACAGTGGTTATGTAAGATGATATTTAGTTAACCACCAAAGGAAAAAAAGTAGGAACCTCCTAAATGAGGCAGATAAAAGGTAGTATTTTTCTTATTATGAAGTTTGGCCTGAGCCGTGGGTTGGAAGGCCTCCAGTAGCCGCCTGCCAGATTAAAAAAAAAAAAGCCAATTTAGGAAAGGCAAGACTAGTTTAACTGGTTCACCCAGTGCTCAACAGAAATGTGAAGACGAATAAGCATGGCTCCCAGGGCAAGCCCCTGGCTGAGAAGGTGCTATAAGCTATATTTTGAATACGCTAACCTTGCTGGAGGGGCAGGGAAGGGAGCTAGACCCTAGAGCCCTGAATGTTACATCCTTCATTCTCCTCTTCCTGGGCTCTGAACCCAGGACTCCTAGGAGATGAGGAAGGAGTTAGGGGGAGCCCATTTTTATGGGTAAATGTGGTCAGCTTGAATGGGCCTTTTAATGTCTCTCCAACATCTGTTTATGGTTCTGAGATTGGGGAAGCTCGCCTTCAAGAATACGTGCTCAAGGGGCCGGCCTGGTGGTGTAGTGGTTAAGTTTTCGCACTCTGCTTTGGCGGCCCAGGGTTCACGAGTTCGGATCTCAGGCACGGGCTAATGCACGGCTTATCAAGCCATGCTGTGGCAGGCATCTCACATATAAAGTAGAGGAAGATAGGCACGGATGTTAGTCCAGGGCCAATCTTCCTCAGCAACAGATGTTAGCTCAGGGCTAATCTTCCTCCCCAAAAAAAAAAAAAAAAGAAAAGAAAAAAAGAATACACACTCACATTTTGACCATCAAATTGCCTCAAGGTGGGGGACCTGATTTTGCTATGAACAGAAGAGGGTCGACACTGTAGGGGGTGGGGGACGGGTCATGATGGTTGACTGACTGTCCACTGAAAATTTAGGAGGCCCTGGTTCCAGGACCAGCCAGGGGTCCTTGGCCCAGGGAGATTCTGGCATATGGCAGATTCCTTTGCCAGCAGTATTAAGAGAGGTTGGTGGCTGTCAAAGCAGCTTCAGAAGATCCTCTCCCCTTAACTTTCTTTGGGGCACAGACCCAGGCCCTGTTTCTTAGGTCCTGACTGCCCTCCCCTCCTGTCTGCCAAAGGTCATTGCCCCCAACTTCATGGGTCTTGGAATGCTGAATGTCACACAAGGTTTCTTGAAGAAGAGGGCATCTGGCTCCCCTAAAAGCAGGAATGCCTCTTGCTAATTTACCCTGAGCCCAGGCAGCAGGCCTGTGTAGATGGTGCTTATTTGGCCTTTGTCTCTGCTGAGACCCTGTGGTTGGGATGGAAGTGCCTTTTCTTGGGCCTGGGGAAGCCAGCTCCTGGCCAGAGAGTTTGCCTAGCCTAGTGGGACGAGCCAGGAGCTATTGTCAGATGCTCTAACAGCAGCTGAGTCTGGCTGCGGAGGTGTCTGTCCTGTTGCTCCTCCTACAGGAGAGAGGGGAAGAGGGAGCTCCCAGCAGCTGCTCATTGGCAGGCCACTGGGTGAATGAGGAGTGAGTGGGAGGATGGGAGGCCTGCAGGGAAACCAGAATCTGGTGGCTAAAGGAGAGGGGACTGAGAGGGGTCACTGTGGGGAGCCTCTGTACATATGGAGCCCTCTGGGCCCAGGCTTTACTCAGCTCACCCCTCTGAGCTGTCATTATTGCAACCCACCTCACCAAGACAGGTGGATTGCCTCACAGTCCTGGGGTGTTCGGGTGGGGATGCCACTGCTGGTAGGGAACTCTTTCTGCTCAGAGTCTCTCCTTTGCCTGCAGATTTCCCAAGAAGGGAGCTGGCAAGGTCTGGCGTTGGTGGTACTGCCCCTTCCTGTCTCCTTGGAGACTGGGCCAGCAGCTCTGCACCATGCTGAAGATGCTGCAAAGACCAGGCTCTTCTACACCTAGGCTGGAAATGAGGCTAGG